AGAGGCCCAGGCCCCTTTGTCTGCTGAACCAACCTCAGCCGTCTTGCATAACTTTTCAGTGTGATGTGTGTTTTGCAGCCATTTCAGCCAGCACCCTAACCTGGCATCCTCGCACCCTGAGTTTGAATATTCCTTCCCCTTCCCAATCTGTTTCCTGTCCCGCCCCCCCCCCCCGCAACTCACTGCGTACACAATGTATTTTAAAGACTTTGACATTTAAACAGCGAAGCAGAAGACTGTCTTGGTGTAGAAACTTGCTGGGATGAACTGGTAGCATCACATAGACTATTTCTGAAATATAGCCCTTTTCATTTTGGGAGGAGGAGACAATCCGTTGTCATTCTGCAGTTTAGGTAAAATACACTGATAACTCCTGACTGGCTGCCTCCCCAGGGGGTGGGTTACAGGAAAAACATTTCAGCACTGCTAAGCTTGGCAAACATGGGCAGATTTATCTCAATTATTTATAGGACATTGGTGCGGGCGTTCACATCACAGAGGTTCCTGTGGTACTTGAGGACGCGTTGTGAGGAGGCTCCTGCTGCCAGATTCCCAGAGGCATTGGCAGGAGGCACTGTCATAGGGAAGTCCACAGCCCTGATGTCCAAGATGTTGTCACTTGTACAGTATTTCAGAATAAATGTTGAATAAGTAGCCTGGTCTGGAATCAGAGCTGCACAACTGTAAATACTGAATTATCTCTTGCTACTGCCTTGGTATTCTTTGGTTTAGGGGAACTTGCAGGTCCAGCTCCATGGATGCACCAAGCCATGTGATGTGTTACTATGGCTAAATGCAGAAATTTGGGGATGTTAGAGGGAGGTTAGCCCAGGTTCAAAATGGCCACCCAATCTAACTTGGTTGGCCTCGGGTGCAGACCTTACACTTAGACTTGGTCTCAGTGATCAGAAATCGATCTAAACCCTTACAGTGCAGCAGTTCTGTGCATACAGGCTGGTCTCGAAATAGGGGAACCCGGTCTGTGATAGACCTGGATTGATGTAGTTTCAGATGTACTCGATCGAGGTGAGACCGGGCACAGAACTTCTGTACAGCGACCTGCCCAGCCCTGGGGCTGGGAAAGCCCAGCCGCTCACCCCAGCCCCGGGCAGCACTTCTCAGCCCTACCCAGCACGTGGCTATTCTTAACCCTCAGCACCTC